CGCCCACGCTGGAGGCTATAAAAAAGACGTCAGTGGTCGTCGTTAGTTATTGAGGGGAAATGTAGAGTGGTACGCCACCGAAAAAAAAGAAACCAAAACCAGAAAAAGGAGGTGCCAGTAAAATGAAGAAAAAAGTGGGAAGAGTCATGGGCCCCTGTCATCACCGCCACCAACAAGACACGCAGCGCCGCTTTTGTGCGCTTAGACCGAGGCAGTCATGCGTTCAAGCAAATCGTAGGCGCACTTCCAAGTACAAATAGTAGTCTGGTCCTCAGTCCCTGGGACCCTCACTCTTTCGCGGCTTCACAGTAAGTATTCGAGGCACTGCAGCCCTCAGAAACGTGAGAGAAGACATATGCAGTTTCAAAAATTAAAAAATTTTTCTCTTTCCGGCAACAACTCTGCTGTAGGTTACAACCACGGGAATTCGCCTGCCGCGGATTATCCGTGATTCAATTTTAACAAGAGACTCCCTTCACTACATTGCCTACCTTTCCACAGGTGTGTGTCAGGACTCCGCCGCGCTCGAAACTGGGTCACCGCGCGCGGCGACTCGGTCGCGTGTCGCGGCGGTGAGACTTGACCTGGCATCTTGCCAACTTTGAATCGATATGACGCTATCACTTTCAGCTTGGAGCGCTCTTTTTTTCTCACCTCCCACCTACCAAAAACATGTCCAAACAGGTAAATATGTTTTTAACATGCAAACGCGTTAAAGCATGTATTCGCCGCGCGCGCGAACCGCTAGTTTCAAACGTGGCGACCTACTTTCAGCGCGGCGGTGACTCCTGGCCGTCTCTCCGTTTCCACACATAAACCTCGGGAGGTTTTCTACACAAATCTCCACTTTTGGAAAATAGTAATCAAAGCACAGATTCGTTTTGTCAACCACTATGACTCGCTACGCCTCTATGCCGCATACCACATTTCCATTCAGAATTGCCATGACATTAATGGGGACACTGACCTGCGGAACAGGCCTGTGATCCACCTGGTGAGGTCATTTGTACACTAGTTTGTCCGAATTTCCATAAGACCATTTCAGTAGATATGGTGCGCCCTACAGTGATACACGGAAGCAACGACAGTGTCTTCACCAGCCCGAACATTTTCACCCCTTTGCTCATTATTGGCAGTGTCGCATACGACCCTAACCCCTCCCATCAGGCCACTTAAGAGTCCAAGGCTGCGGGATTTCGAAGGCTCTCGTGCATTCTCTCAATGTTAAGTATCCTAATCGATATAGTCTACTTTTGCCCCTCATGTATTTTTTTGTGGGGGAGGGGACGTAGCAGGACCCGCTTCCAGATGGGGAGGTGGTATCGTGTTTAGCAGAAATTTATCACAATGCGATGGCGTGCAACTCCTAAACTTGGGTGACTATATCAAAGGTCAAGTAACTGTAATTAGTTGGACTGTAAAATCATACTGGGTGCGTCACTAAGAAGGTTTTTAATTGCATCTTTACAATTTTATTTCGAGCCATTTGCTTCCCATCGCATAGATCGACCCCTTCAATTCCTTTCCACCAATTGCCTGAATTCGTTCAACCGGGCTTGTTTGACATTTGTAATAGCCGCTCCATCTAGACGCACAAACCAGAACCACCCCTGCTTTGCTAGGATTTGCTGGATAAAACGTCGGAAATTGAAAGCTGTTGTGCAGTCGTGCGCAGAGGGATGTCACAAATGTGTAAATGCGGCTCCAGAACCAGTTCCTCGGCTTAACAGATAGAGGAAGCTATTATTTCACTGAGAGGACATTAACTGCAGTCAGCAGCAGATGAAGTCGAAGTAAAAAAGTGTATGAGTAAAAATTAATGTAAGTGCAAGTTTGGAAAGGAATCGTAGGGAAAATCGTCATGTCCACCACGATAAAAGAGAGGAAGCAAACACTGGAGATGAGGGAAGTAGAAGGAAGGATGACCTATAAATTGGCTCCTGCGTGTTTATAACGAAAAATTATATTTGAATGTTCATTAAAAACTCAACCCTTCCTGATCAAAATACACGAAATCTTTGCTGGATTTCTCGGTTTGGGCATCTCGGTGGCCTATCACGAGTATGACCGTACCTTCGATCTGGCCCCGTACGAAAACTAGCGCGACATTGGTTTCCCCACCAAATTTTTCAGTCAGTTATATGCTTGGCAGTCCAGTAGCAAAATCCCAGATAAGAATTTTTTTGACGCCGGCGCTAATTGACGGGAGAGTGATGTGGGTATCATAGAATTTCACATGGCACATAACCGTTCTGGAAATTGCATCCAACGTTGTGTAAGACTGGACCGTGAACCCAGGGACAACATCATTGTCCGTTAGAATGATTCAACGGAGGATAGTGAGGGTTTGTAGGAGCCTAGCAACATGTCCTCACAAGAGCCGAAGATAGGTGAGAGCTACACCTTTCCACCTCTTCCTGGGAGTCAAGAGCATAGAACAGTAGAGTAATGCGATCCAAGGACAATGAATGAATTATTTCGTATTAACTTTGACATAAAGATGAGCTCTAGGAGGCATGCTTTTTTCTTTGAACGAGGTGGAAGTGCCATGATGGCCTGACAGTGGGTTCCTGATTGGCACGCATGTTCCCACAAGCATTACACAACGGACAAATTTGCGGACCAGTTTTGCTAAAAAAAGGAGGCGATTGTCAGTGATTTCAGATCGACGGCTCTGCAAGCGTTTGTGTAGGCCAAAAAGCCTTCAAAATACCCACACGATCCTCACTGAAATAAAGTGCGTGGCGCATTTTAAGTGGTGCTGATCCTTGAAAGCGTTCTTTAGCTTCACGTTCAGTGCATGAGTGAACTCTTAGATGAGGGGGCGAGAAAGATGCTCACGTGCTGCTTCGTTTACAGAAAAGAAGAGAGCTCATGAAAGTGGCAAACCTGTGAGATTCTCCATTTGGATGGATTTTTATATGTAATCCTATTCTCATAAATATGTAGAAAGCAAGGTGGCTTGGCTTTGTGATAGAATAAGGCGGCAGGGCGCAATTTTGCAAAAGAGCTAAACAAGCATTATCGATCTGCAGATGCATTTTATTGATCGATACTATTGCTTACGAGCTCTCCAGATCGAAAAAGCACTGAAAGTCACGGCGCATTCTTTTCAAATGCTGGTGATAAGTTCGACTTCGAAAATCCATCTTAAGACAGATTTGTATCCGGTTTCCGTGAATAGGGAACTGGTTTGGTGACCTAGGTCATTTCTCTTCTTACTTCATCACAGTTTACATTACTATCTATTATCCTTGCGTTGCACATCGTGCTCACGACCTTCAATAAGAAGAAAAGCGTTCGAGCTCCGTATTGCGCCCATAACCACCACTTGTACCTTTGTGATTGTTTGCGAACGCGGTCCACCATTCTTTTCAGCTCGCCGATTTCTTGTTGTCGTCCACTTTCACATCCTTGACCGTCATTGGATCATTTCATTCATTCCGAAGCCTTTACTGCTATAACTGTACAATAAAAGCACTTCAAACCAGTGCGATGCACTCGCTGGAATTCGTTCTCATGCCAACTGGTAGTGAGTAATGAAAGATTTCCAAAATAGAAATTTCAAATAGGTTTGGAGAGGAAAGGATGAGTTTTTCAAGGATGGTTTTGTACTATGTCATCCTAATAATTTGGTGCACCTTTATCGTTCAACTACTAGCATTACTCTTCTACCCTTACTTTTCTACCTTCCTTCTCTACTTCTTTATTTAAACTGTGACATTTTGTTTATCACGATC